AGCCCCAACTTTATGATTAGACGGTTGGGATTTTGAGCCAGTTTGATCTCCAGGGAGGGAAGGGGACTTGATTGAGTTCAGTCACACGGCAGTGATTTACTCCGCCGTGCCCAAGTGATGAAACCCCTAATAAACACTTTGGACACTGAAGCTCAGTGGGGCTTCTTGTTGGTGAATACACTGATGTGTGGGGAGAGTGATATGCCCCAGGTCTATGTGGACCCTCCAGGACTTCTCCCTATGCAGCTCTTCATTTAGCTGTTCGTGACATATCCTTAATTATAAATAGTAATTGTACTAAAATGTAAGTATAGTGCTTTCCTGTATTCTATGAATTGTTCTAGCAAACTATCAAACCTTAGGGGGCTCATGGACACTCCCGGATCTGTAGGCACTTGGCATGAAGGATAGATGGCCAGGGGACCCCACTTGCAGCTGGCATCTGAAGTGGGGGCAGTCTTGTGGAGTGAGCCCTTACCTTGTGCTAACTCTGGGCAGTAAGTGCCAGAACTGAATTTCGGGTCACCACTGGGGGTTGAAACAATACTAATCCTGAATGGACAATTGTGACTGTGAAGGATAGATTAGGTGGATTGGTAAACACTGGATCATGGACAGATCAATCATCTGAGTCTGGAATGGGCTGAGCTGCAATCAAACTTCATGGGCTGAGCACAGCAGAGGGTGGTTCTTCAAAGGAAAACCAGAGTCTCTCACTGAGGGGGAAGTGGTTGCTTATGGGCTTCTTCTGGAGGTCATCTGGACCCTCCCCCACCCCAAGAGATGAAGATGTCTCATTTTTCTGAGATGTCAAATTCAGCCTTGGTGTTTTGGCCAGAACTTCCTGCCCCTCCAAGCAAATCATGCTTTGCTTAATCAGAACATTCTGACAGCTAACATACTCCACCTTCACTTAGGTTTTTCTCTGATATTACACATGCAATTTCCCCCAGTTCTGCCAGTCTTCCTCCCTCTGGTTTCAGGCTCCAAAGTATAGCTGCCTCTAGGAAGCTATGCAAGGCCAATGCACCTAGGTGGCCTCTCAAGTGCCTTTTATTTAGTAGCTTTTGTGTGGCCTTCACAGAGTGTTTCCAACTGGAATGTCTCCAGTCACATCTGAGTGATATGAGTGTGATTGGAGTTCTGTGTTTAGAAGGATATTCAGGGCCAGTAGGGGAGCGTTGAGACGACAGAGAGAGGAGATGGCTCCAGTGGTCCAGGAGGGGGGAGATGCTGACCTGGCCAAGGCAGTGCAGCAGGGTTAATCCCAAGGAGAATATCCAGAGGGATTTCTGAGGAGACACTGCCAGGCTGGCTGGTGGTGAAGAGTGAAGGATGCCCCTGAGCTTCCAATAAGTCTGTTGAGTGGTACCAAGGACAAGGCTCTAAGTCCTAGTCCCCAATTTGCCACTAAGTTATAGGTCAGCCCAGAACCCATTTTTACAGCAGACCCCACCTCCTTTTAGAAGTTACAGCTACAAAAAATCCTTACAGGTCATAAAGTTTAACCTCTTCACTCAACCCCATTTTATAAAGCAGAGGCCCCGGAAGTTACAGTGACTCACTTGTATTTTTTAGATGAATGTGAATACAAAATTTGCTTTCCACCGAAAAACACTGGAAAACTTAAGCCCAACACAATGCTTCACTGAATGATCAACTGAAAGGATTCAGCAAATTCTTCCTTCAACAAATGTTTCTTGCCCTAAGTGTTAGGCACTATTCCTAAAATGAAAAATAAGCTCTTAGTGTCATGAGCTGGTGAGAGAGAAAAAAATAACAAAAAACAAAACCCAACAAACAAGCAAACTACTAAGATAATTTTGGATATTTAGGTGCTCTGAAGAAAATAAGCAGGCCATTGGTAAGAGGGTGTCTGAAGAGGTGACATGTGAGGTTGGAGGATGAGAAGGAACAAGCCATGGGGAAAGCTCCAGGGAAGAACATTCCAGGAAGACAGAAGCACATCTGCAAAGACCCTGAGGTAAAAGCAATCGTGGGGTGTTTGTGGAGCAGAAGGATGCCCAGTGTGGCTGGAGAGAGTGAGAGGAAAGTACCAGATGGGGATCAGAGAGGTGGGCAGGGGCTAGATCATGCCCATGCCAGATCACAGGCCACAGGGAGGACATCGGATTTTTTTTTTTTTTAATAATAGGTTTACTGAGATATAAATTACCTGCCATACAATTCACCCATTTAAAGTCACAGAGGCTGGATTTTATTCCATGTGTACTAAGGAGTCATTGAGGGAGGATTCATTTCCGATTCACGTTTTAAAGACTGATCTGGTTGTGTGGAAGATGGATTTGACAGATATTGGGAATAAGGACAGAAGTTGGAGGACCCACTGGAGAGGTCATGAGGTAACTTAGGCAAGAGATGATCCCAATTTGAACCACAGTGTTGACAGTGGAGAGAGAGAGAAGCGGTCACATTGAGATTTATTTTGGAGAGAGAGCCAGTGGGACTGGGTAATGGATAGATGTGGGGATGGGTGGAAAGGACAAAGGTGGTGCCATTTATTCAGATGTGTAAGGAGAGTGTGGTAGAAACAGAGTGTCCTGTTTGGGATATGTTAGGTTCATAGCACCCTTCAATTTGGAAGGCTCATGAACAGGTCAACTGCAGACATTCACACAGGCCTGCTGTGGCCAGGCACAGAGTATATGGAAATAAAAGAAGCCCAGTCCTCACCCTACTCAAGTCACTTAGTCTCAGACAAGTGACACCAAGAAATACATCCAAGTGCTATAAGGCAGACTTATCTGTTAAGGTATATTTGGTTGCAAGTAACAGACAACTCTGACACCATCTGGCTTAAACAATAAAGACACTTGGCATCTCACACTATGTAGAGTCCAGGCTTCTAAGATCCTCTTCCCTTTGCCCACTTCTGGATTTTGGCTTCACCATGGATGGGGAGCATCATGGGCATGTAGTTCCAGGCTTCCCATCCTGAACAACAACTCCCAGAGTCAGAAGGTGGTCTGTCTCCTCGGTGTCTCCTTCTTCTTTTTAAAATATTTATTCATTTATGGCTGTGTCGGGTCTTAGTTGTGGCACGTGGGATCCTTGTTGTGGCTTACAGGTTCCAGAGCACTCCACTGGCTCAGTAGTTGTAGCACATGGGCCCAGTTGCCCTGCGGCATGTAGGATCTTAGTTCCCCAACCAGGGATTGAACTCAAGTCCCCTGCACTGGAAGTCAGATTCTTAACCACTGGGCCACCAGGAAGTCCCAAAGATCACTTTCTTGATGTAGAAGTAGCTTCAGGACCCTGAGCAGTTGCTGTTGCAGACAAGTCTAAGTCCTGGCATTTAGTGTCTGGTGGCAGTGGCGGTAGAAGCAGTTTTCTTATCAGGTCAGATCAGACCTATGGCTTAGGATCCATTTCTCCAGCCCACTCCACAATTCTGTAAGCTGCCTACCACCTTGACACAAATCCCCTCTTTTCCAACCAGCCCATGTAAATTCTGTTATCTGCAAATCAAGACTCCCATGTAAATTCTGTTATCTGCAAATCAAGACATAGGGTGCAACAGTCAACAGCTCTACAAAAAATTCTCTCCCTCTGGACTCTTTTCTGAGCACTGTGTTTTGCAAATTTCAGTTATTCATGTACACCTCTCCCCAGATTTGTCATATATTCATATCACCCATTTTATCTACCAAGTGTTGTTTTTTTAAATTGACTCATTTTTTAAAACACATTTACAATGCCAACCTTTCTTTCAAACTGGTACACATTAAAATAAATATAGCACCACTAAAAAAGAAAGCATTAATTTAAATACCAGCCCCCAATATTTCATATCCTGGTGGTGGCTGATAGTGTCTTAGGATAAATTTCTAGAAGTGGAATGACTAAGGTTCAGGTTGGGGACAAGGAGAACCCTTTCATATTGTACAAGCCCTTCCTCATCAAAGCTGATAGGTTTAGAGGGCCAAGAAGACAGAAGTCTTAGCAAGTTTCTCATTATAAAATGACAGTTAAATTACAGTATGGTGAAGTGGCTAAGTGCACACTTTTTTTGGAGTTTAGCTGTGTTGGGTTCCTTGTTTACCTTGATGCTCAGTTTTCTCACTAATAAAATGGGGTCCTATCACACAGAATAACATTGAATGTGACAATATTGAATGTGAAGCAATATGAAGCACAACACCTGAACTATAAAAAGCTCTGAGCTCCCCAAACTCCTCTGAATTTAAGAAGAGTGTTTGTTAAAAATAAATATGGTTTCCTTGTCTGTACCCAGACACTACTGAATCATAATCTCCAAGGGAGGAATTAAGGAATCTATTTGACCATCAACTGAGTCTTAGGAGCTGATGAGTTTCGGAAACATTAATCAAGGTTAAGCAGCTGCTATTATCATCCCAGGGTGATGAGATGATGGATGTGAAAGTTAAAGGTCATTTACTATCCTTGCACTCATTCATTCAGTCAACAGACATTTATTGAGCACTCACTGAATGCCCCGCCCTGTGGCAGGTGCCAGGGACACAGCGGGAACAAGAAAGCCTCAGGCTGCCCTTAAAGGCACAAGAAGTTGGTCCCTCACCTGGTCATCTGTAAAACTAGGTGGCGAGAACGACGATCGAGAGAATTACTCTCCGGCCTGCTGAGGGGCTACAGGGGTGGACGGGAAACTCTGTCCCCGCAGGCTGTGAGCCAGCGGGGAGGGCATTTGAGCCAGGGGAGGGTCCCAAAGACTGTGGGACCCGGAAGGCTTTTGGACCCCTTTTCTGTCTCTTGCCCAGCTCATTTCCTCTCAGAGCCAGATGTCAGGGTCTTCCTGTGAAGTAGATACTACTCCCACTTTACAGACAAGAAAACAAAGGCTCAGAAGAGAGATGGGTCACACTTAGAGACCCACCCCCAACAGGTTCCCGGGAGAGTCTTCCTCAGCCTGGCCGCAGCGGCTGGTCCTACCTCCAGCTGCGACACAAGGCCGCCAGATCTGTCGCCAGACCCGCCCGGCGGGTCGGACTGGACTCCAGATGGTTCGGGGCCAAGACGTTCCGGAGTCATCCACGCCGGGGCCGCTGCCTCTGCTTCAAGAAGGCCTGGACCGTCCCTCCGGACCTGGCCTCGCCTTCCCACGATACGTGCCAGCACAGCTCGCAGCCCTGGGAACTACAACGCCCATGAGCCTCGGGGGCGTAGGCGCTATGAGATGCTCCACATCGCCCCCCGGCGCCACCAGAGAGAACTGCGTGGCTCCTGAGCCCGCGAGATAGGAGTGCGCCTTGGAAAGCTTCCCCACCCTTAGCACCCTCAGCACTTTCCTGGACGTGTTCCGTCCCGCGCCCGGAAGTTGACAGGGCCATAGAGATTGGAGGCTAGAGGCGCCCAGACTTGCCCTCTCTGCCCTAACTTCCGCCGGAAGCGACTTCCATCCGCAACTGCCCTTTCGCTACTGCACGCGCCGGCGCCCGTGCCCGGTGCTCTCTACGGGCGCCAGTACGACCACAATGGCGGCCGCTACCCTGCTGCGCGCGACGCCCCTTTTCAGCGGTGAGGGGGCGGGGAGGGCCATGGCAGTCCGGGTTCACGTGGGGGTCGTCGGGAGCGGCCGGGCTCAGACCCGCGCCGTGACTCCAGGCATCTGCCCCGGCAGGTCTCGGCGCCGGCCCGGCACCACTATTGCAAGGTTTTTTGCGGCCGCTGAAGGCCCCGGCGCTGCCCATCTTGTGCCGCGGCCTGGCTGTGGAGGCCAAGAAGATCTATGTGCGTGACAAGCCCCATGTGAACGTGGGCACCATCGGCCATGTAGACCATGGCAAGACCACGCTGACCGCGGCCATCACGAAAAGTAAGTGGGGTTGGGGTGGGGGGCTTCCAACAGCGCCTGCTCTGCTGGTGGGACTTGAGGTCAGGGAGGCGGGGCCCGCGGAGCAACTGCTTAGGTGTTTAGTGCGGCCCCAAAGGTGGCTTCCCAGGTGGCGCTAGTGGTAAAGAACTCGCTTGCCAATGCAGGTTAGGCGCAAGAGACGCCGGTTCGATCCCTGGGGTCGGGGAGATCCCCTGGAGAAGGGAATGGCAGTCTACTCCAGTATTCTTGCCTGGAGAATCCCACGGACAGAGGAGCCTGTCCATAGACTGTCCTTTTCTAAAGTGGAAAGGGCCTTGCTGAAAAGTGTGTTCCCTTCCTTCCCTTAGTTTTAGCAGGCTACAGTCCGTAGGGTTGCACAGAGTCGGACACGACTGAAGCGACTTGGCAGGGCACAAGGCGCCAGAAATTGGGCGGACAGTACACTGCAGGATGCAGAAGACAGATTTCCCGTGAACACGAAGTTTTTGATGCATAAGTTGGGGGATTCCCCCCCGTCCCCACAATGGCCTCCCTCCAGCCCTGGGAAGGTGCCCTGTAAGCAGAACTGTTAGCCTAGAGAAGTCACAGGGCTAGCCCTTGAGGCTCTATAACCTTTTTTTCTGACCTGAAGTTACTAGCCCCAGGAGTTGAAGGAGGGTGTCTTGGAAGGTTGATTCTCCTAGACTGTCCTTTTCTAAAGTAGAAAGGGCCTTGCTGAAAAGTGTGTTCCCTTCCTTCCCTTAGTTTTAGCGGAGGGAGGTGGGGCCAAGTTTAAGAAGTACGAAGAGATTGACAATGCCCCAGAGGAGCGAGCCCGAGGTATCACAATCAACGCGGCTCATGTGGAGTATAGCACAGCCGCCCGCCACTATGCCCACACTGACTGCCCCGGTCATGCAGATTACGTTAAGGTGAGAGCCGCTGGGGACGGAGCTTGGGAACTGCCCCCCCTCAGGAAAAACGTTAGGATTGTGGGGAGGAGGTTAAGATGTTTGAGGTGTATGGGTTGGAGATCCTGGCTTTGTGGGCCTGGCCAGTCACAGCAGGTGGTAAAGAAGTGTCTGTGCTTAGCTAGGTGGCTGGGGAGCGGAGGAGGTCATGGAATTACACTACTTCCTTTCCTCTCTCTCCCCAGAATATGATCACAGGCACTGCCCCCCTCGACGGCTGCATCCTGGTGGTGGCAGCCAATGATGGCCCCATGCCCCAGACCCGAGAACACTTACTGCTAGCCAGACAGGTACTCAAGAGCCTGGGAAAGGGTGGAAGGGGGCGGAGGGTGTTGGGCCATTCAGGACGCCATCTGTGTCTCCTCACCTGCAGATTGGCGTTGAGCATGTCGTGGTGTATGTGAACAAGGCGGACGCCGTGCAGGACTCTGAGATGGTGGAGCTGGTGGAGCTGGAGATCAGGGAACTGCTGACTGAGTTTGGCTACAAAGGGGAGGAAACTCCGATCATCGTTGGCTCTGCCCTCTGTGCCCTTGAGGTAAAGGCGGGGTCAGGCTGGGGATGGGGCTGGATGGACACCCAGAGCTTTGCTCTGAGTCCGGGGCCTGGCTCTGGGCAAGTAAGAGGAGCGGAAGTTTCAGAGTCCTGTCACCTCCCACTCATAGCAACGTGACCCCGAGCTAGGCCTGAAGTCCGTGCAGAAGCTGCTGGATGCTGTGGACACGTACATCCCGGTACCCACCCGGGACCTGGAGAAGCCTTTCCTGTTGCCCGTGGAGTCGGTATACTCGATCCCTGGTGAGGACCCGGCTCACACGCACTCCCTTCCCGTCACTGCCGCTTCATCCAGCATCCCTGATGTCCTGTCCTGTTCCCTCCCAGGCCGGGGCACAGTGGTGACAGGCACGCTCGAACGTGGCATTTTGAAGAAGGGAGACGAGTGTGAATTCCTGGGACACAGCAAGAATATTCGCACTGTGGTGACAGGTACAGGAGGCGGCCTTGGGACCCAGAGCTCCAGGATGGCATCTCCCCCCTGCAGACCCCCCATTCCTTCCCTCTGCCCACACCCTTCTCCCGCATGTCTCCCCTCTCTTAGGCATTGAGATGTTCCACAAGAGCCTGGATAGGGCAGAGGCGGGTGACAACCTTGGGGCCCTGGTCCGAGGCTTGAAGCGGGAGGACCTGAGACGTGGCCTGGTCATGGCCAAGCCAGGTTCCATCCAGCCTCACCAGAAGGTGGAGGCACAGGTGAGGGCTCCAGGTGTTGATGGGCAGGCGCTGTGGAGGGTCGGTGCTTCCAGCCAGGCCCAACTCCACCCATGTTCTCGTACCCTCTCACAGGTCTACATCCTCAGCAAGGAAGAGGGTGGCCGCCACAAACCTTTTGTATCCCACTTCATGCCTGTCATGTTCTCCCTGACTTGGGACATGGCCTGTCGGATCATCTTGCCTCCAGGGAAGGTATGATGTATGTGACAGCGGGCGTGACCTTTCCCTGGTAAAGAAAGCCTGGCTGATGATGTAGGGGGAGAGCTGGTGATGGAAGGGATCACTGGATTCAGGTAGAACGAATCCTCATCCAGGGTTTCTTAGCTGTGTTAGTACTGACTCACAAAGATTCCCCAGCAGAGTTCCTATAGTAGAGAGTTCCACTGTATTTTACATAAAGGCTCAAAAGAAATCTTGAGCCCAAGACCTGCATAACCCAAAATTTTATAAACATTTTTTTCTCAAGAAAAACTTTAGAGACGCTAATCACTAGTCCTTTTTTATTTTTATCTTTATAGTTTACTTGTTTATTGGCTGCCCTGGTCTTCGTTGCACTGCACAGGTTTTCTTGTTGGGAGAGTGGGGGCTCCTCATTTTGGTGGCGTCTCCTGTTGCAGAGCACAGGCTCTTGGGCACGTGGGCTTAGTTGCCCCGCGGCTTGTGGGATCTTGTTTCCCAGATCAGGGATCGAATCCATGTCCCCTACATTGACAGGTGGATTCCTAACCACTAGAACCCCAAGGAAGTCCAGTCAGTCCTTTTCTGCCTTTGCATATGCTGTTTGCATGTGCCTAACAACTGGGACAGAAGTTTCCCCAGAAAGAATCACCCTGCTGCATTTTCCCATAACCTTTAACCTTGGTAACCAACAGTTAGGAAGTGAAGGTGCCCTGAATCATGCATGATCTTTGTCTCTACCTTTCAGGAGCTTGCCATGCCCGGGGAGGACCTGAAGCTCACTCTCATCTTGCGGCAGCCAATGATCTTAGAGAAAGGCCAGCGTTTCACCCTGCGGGATGGCAACCGGACCATCGGAACCGGCCTCGTCACTGACACACCAGCCATGACCGAGGAGGACAAGAACATCAAGTGGAGTTGAGTCTGAACCTCTGCTGGGGCTCTCTTGTGCTCAGGGCCGCACTGGCCAGCGTTCTCTCCTGCCTCTGTGGCCTTCTTTGCAGGGCAGAGGCTGTGGCCCAGCCAAATGACAGCTAGACTGATACTTCCCCTGGCCCAAGGGCCGTGTGGCCGGCCAGGTGAGGTAGGTCAGTAAACTGTTCTGTGAATAGAAAGCTAGCCTGTGTCTTGTGTTGTTTGTACTCTGGGAGAGGGGGGATATAGGAATGGAGCTGAAGCCCAGGATGCATGAGCTTGGGAGTGACCCCTGAGTCACATGAACTGAGAGTGCTTCTCCAGCCTCAAGAGTTCATCTCTGGTGCACGGTGGAGGAGCTCTTGCCTTAAAGCAGTGCTGTGGTAACGTGAGGAAGGTAGAGAAACTAAAGGCCTGAAAGCTATCCCCATGAGCTTCGCATGATTGCTCCAGTCCAGTTCAGTGTGTTGCTCAGTGGTGTCTGACTCTGCGACCCCACGGACTGCAGCACACCAGGCTTCCCTCTTCACCAACTCCCAGAGCTTGCTCAGACCCGTGTCTATCAAGTCCATGATGCTATCCAACCCTCTCATCCTCTGTCGTCCCCTTCTCCTCCTGCCCTCAATCTTTCCCAGCATCAGGTTCTTTTACAGGGTGTCAGCTCTTCCCATCAGGTGGCCAAAATATTGGAGCTTCAGTATCAAGTCCTTCCAATGAATATTCAGGACTGATTTCCTTGAGGATTGACTGGTTTGATCTTGCTGTCCAAGGGACTCAAGAGTCTTCTCCAACACCATAGTTCAAAAGCATCAATTCTTTGGGGCTCAGCTTTCTTTATGGTCCAACTCTCACATCCATATGTGACTACTGGAAAAACCATAGCTTTGACTATGTGGACCTGTAAAGTCAAGTCTGCTTTTTAATATGCTGTCTAGGCTTGTCATAGCTTTTCTTCCCAAGGAGCATCTCTTAATTTCGATTGCTTAGCAAAATGCTACATAAAACAGGCTAAATGTTGGATATTCCTAGAGATACTGGTCAAATGGTTATAGCTTGGGCCCAGTTTAGGTGCCTGTTCTGTGAGTAGTCACCAGGCTGTTCATGTCTAGCTACCCTTATTTAAAGTTGATACTGGGCGTTCTATTTTGCCTTTAGACCCAGCATATAGATTATACTTGGTAAATAATTTGTAGGCTTGGTGGGTTATTCCCACCAGATCACTAAGTCCAAAAAGGAGTGAGAAATTGTAGAATGAAAGTTTCATTTTTAATGTTATTACTGAGATTTAAAACGAACAAGGTCTGTTTATCAAATACACAGGGAGTAAAATGCTGAGATTTTGGGATGACCCCCACTAACATAGCATTCAGCAGGGATTAATGGCACCCTTTCAAACTTGTATCCTGACAAATGAATATACTCAGGACAGACAACCTACTAACAAACAGCTCAAGAGAATGGAGGCTGTTAGGTAGGCCCAGCATGAGGCAAACAGAAGCAAACTTCAGATAAAGGAATTTCATGGAAAGTACTGTCCAACAGTAAAGCATACTTGTTTTACCTTCTTCAGTGTGCAAGGAGAGGCTGAAAGTTTTCAGGCAGATTCAGTCAGGGTGGAGGCTAAGTTCCTTCTAGCTCGTAAGATTTCTGCTCTTAGGAATAAATTATTAAGAGGCTACCCAGGAACACCTGCAATCACGTACGTCTCCAGCACTACAGAAACCCGTTTCCATCTGCACTGCAGACATCAGGAGCCCACCTGAAGGCTTTCCTGCTGCTACTTCCATCAAGGCCTCCCAGCCCCAGTTGGAGAGCTCTATCACTTGGGACCGCAAATCTGCTTTTTTAAAACATTTGGCTGCACCGGGTCTTAGTTGCAGCATGTGGGATCTAGTCCCCTGACCAGGGATCGAACCTGGGGCCTCCTGCATTGGGAACAGTCTTAGCCACTGGACCACCAGAGAAGTCCCAAACCTGCCGCCTTTCAACAACCAATGAAGAGGCTACAGATCAGTCCCATCCTCTACCAGTGAAATCTCCACTTTACAGGTAAGAAACGAATGCCAGGTCTTACTAGTAAAGAATTCCAAACTGTTTTAAAAAAACACCTCCTGAAGCCTATTGTTTCTCCATCCCATACCTGGCCTGCATCTTTCTAATCTGGCCCCTGCTTCCCTCAGGCTGGCTCAATCCAGCCCTCCCCCCTTTCACTAGCAGTTTCATCCTATGGCTCTCACCCACACCCAAGACCTCTCAGCTGTGCACCACCCTGGCCCTTATTTCAGGTGGCCCCAAACACAATTGTACTTTTTAGTGCAAAGAGCTATACATCATTCACGAAGTACTTACATTAGAAATGAAAACCTCAAGTTACATCTCACAATAAGGCCCGTTTTGAGGTGAGAAAACAGCCTTTGAGACAATGGTGGGCCTGCATGGCATAGCGCCAGAAAGGGCATCTCTGGATATTCTGGATGGGCACCTACAGTGCCCCACCTTGGAAACCTCATAAAACCTACCGCTCCCGTCTTACTATTCTTCAAAGAGGAAACTACAGGCAGGTTAAGTTAGTTTAAAATTTTATTTTTTTTAAATTTTTTTAAATATTTTTATGTAATAAAAAGTAAAAGTCCTTGTCCAACCATCCTTGCGGGGCATGTCTGTTTCTCTTACGCAGGTGACTCAAGTTAATGGGGAAGAAAGAACAGGGGGCCCAAGGTTATAAATAATAGAAAATAAAAGATCTTCGTCTCCAGCGGGGAGGAGGGGGATAGATGAGAGGACGGGAGGGCAAGATGGGGTGGGGATGGGCAGGGGCAGAGCAGGAACCCCCCCACCCCCGCTGGACCCTGGCCCTACCCACTTTGAGGCCCTTCCCATTCAAGGTGCTTGGCAGGAATTCCCCAGCTCCCCCGGGGGTGGGGAAAGGGGGTGGGGGGCTGGGACTGGTCCGAGCTGCTGGGGGAAGAGACATAGATCACTCTTCCCTCCACTCATGGAGGTCTCAGGTCGCGGCCAGGACAATCTTCAGTTCCCCGGGGGGTGGAAGGGGAGCTGCTGGGAGGGATGAGATTGAACTGGTTGGAGGGGAAAGAGAAGAGAGCAGGAGCATTAGAACCCAAGCAGCTGTCCCTTCATCCAATGCCGTCCAGTGTGGGGTGTGGGGGGAGTGTTGGTAGGAGCGGCCGCCTCGAGGTGTCTCACGGGGCTGTCAGAAGCACAGATCAATCGCCGTTTCCCCGTGAGCCAGAGCCCTTCCTCACGTGCCCAGCTCAGCCCCCCACACCCCAGCCTGGCCCTGTCTACTGCGCTGACCTTACCTCGGCTAAGTCAGGAGACAGTCGGGGTCACTGAGAGCTGGGGAGGCAGTGGGGAGGGGGGCTGCTGGATCACAACTGAGCGAGGACGGAGGGAAGCAAAGGACAGAGCCAGGAGCAAGCCCCTGGCGGCGGCGACTGTGGCTTCTGCCCACCCTACATACTTCACAGACAGGTGCAGGTCGGCAGGCGCCCTGTGGGACAGCCCTGCCTCCAAGACCCCTCACTCCCCGCCCAGAACCCGTGCATCCTGCCCCACCTGCAGCCCATCAGCTCTTCCATGCCAAATACCCCCAGCTAACGAGAACTCACGAATCCTGTCATCGGCTCCTCCTGGAAATCCAGGCGCCTGGCCAGGCTGCTCACCTTGGGGGTGTCCGATGTAGGGGTAGGGTGAGGGTGTGGAAGCTGAGAGTGCAGGCACCCCACTCTGGGGCACCGCGCCTTGGGGGGGGCCCCCATGGCTCTGGGGTGGGTGCAGCAGCATCACCTGGGGCGGGTGGGGAGCCCCAGGGTGAGGGGGCGGGGCTGCTGTGATTCCAGTTTGGACATGGGCCTGTGGAGAACAGAAAAAGAGCTGCGAGCACCACAGGGTCAGAGAACCTAAGGCAGCAGCACGGAGTGCAAAGGTGCACCGACGACTCCAAGATGGGGTACCCCTTGGCTCAGGGCAGGTGGCGTGGGCTCTTACCTGGGTAACATGGGCCATGTTGGTGAAGCCGTGGGGCAGCTGCTGGTGGGCATGGATGGCATATACAGCGGCTGGTTGGGGGAAGCTGCTCTGAGGGGACTGGGCAGAAGGTCCCGGTGGCAGAGAAGGCGGCGTGCCTGTCAGGGCCCCTGGGTGGTACAGGTTCTGCTGCGGCTGTCCACTGCCCAGGTGTGGGGCCTGCCCCGCCTGGTGCTGGCATCAGGGCAAGGGGAACGGTGAGTGCCACTTCCGGTACCACCTCTGACCCCCAGGTTCTCCCCACTAGGGAATGACTCCTTGTCCTAGTCCTCTCCTTCAGCCACCCACCCCTGCCCCACCCACGTGGATGCCCCACAGCAGGCACCTGGACAGGACTGGGGGCCGCATGCTGGGACGGCGGCTGGCTCCCAGTAGGCGTGGTGGCCGGCTGCGGCTGGTGGGCATGGAGCTGCGTAGCATGGTGTGGATAGGACTGGTGAACAGTGGCTACAGCAGGAAAGGGGAGAGAGTCAGTGACAGGCACCCCGGAGGGGCTGAGCAGCACAGACTGGGTGGGACAGGACAGAACTCACCATAAAGGGCCTGGGGGGTGGGCTGCTCTGCAGAAGGGTACTGAGGGGTGGAGGATGACACGATGGCCTGGGGATGGCTACCCGACGTCAGCATGCGTGGGTTGCTTTGAAGCATGGGGGCAAACACCGGCTGGAGGAGGAGGAGAGAAGCGGTCGGCCTGGCGGAGCATCCCGCTGCCAAACCACCCAGGCACAGGACTACTCTGCTCCTATCACGACCACCTTACTTCACATTCTCAACCACCTTATTGAGTAGACGCTACACTTTACAGAAGGAAAAAATAAAAGCGCCAGAATCCACTGCCTCTCCGGAGTCCTACTACAGCCAAGACTAAAGCCCAAGTTGGACCCCATCACCCAGAACTCTAGGCTGGCTTCTCCTGCCAGCTCCTGAGTGTGAGAGGTGGAGGCTTGCTAAGATGCCAGGGCTCTGTACCAGACCTTCCTCCCCACCTCAGTCACCTGCGAGGGGTAGTGGGCCATGGGCTGCATCATGGCGGGCTGGCCTGGGAACTGCTGTGGGTTGTAGGGGATGTAGGAAGAGTAAGGGGTGGCGGCCACCAGAGGTGGACCAGCGGCGGCAGCGGCGGCCTGCATCATGGGAGGGGCGGAGGCTGGCTGGTGTTGGTCCGAGCGCTGGGGGGGCAGGGAGCCTGAGGGCAGGGGGAAGACAGAGCAGAGCTCAAGCTCTATCCGCCGGCAGGCCCCAGGCGGCGCGCACGGCCCCTCCTGACCCTGCTCACCTTTGGCGCCCCGGTACTTGCCCTGCTGTCCAGGCACTGAGTTGGACACAGGGTACGGATACATCTGAGGTGCCTAGGGACCAGAACACAGGCACAGCTCAGTGACTCGCTAAGTGCTCAGGACAGGCAGGGTCTGGTCCCTCAGACAGCCCAGGCACACCTGACCCACTCAGTCTCCTCTCACCTGAACAGCTGGTCCCATGTGGATCTGAGGTATGTAGGAAATGTACTGGGGGCTATAGAGCCCACTCTGGCCTGCTGTCAGCACCGGGATGGAGGGAGTTGAATGAGTCCGGGGCCCAGGAGAAGTCGGAGTACTGGTGGATTTATTCTGTAAGAGGCAAAGGGGTACATGCACAAGATATCTCAATGACTTCCGTACCACCCTTCTCTCCCAGCCAAGGGCATCCAGAGTGCTGTGCACCAAACATATCCTACACTTTATATTGGTTAAACCTCACATCAACCAGGAGATGAGCACCCTTAAAATTACAGGCGAGGAAACTGAGGCAGAGAGAGTAAGTGGTTCATCCAAAATCACAAAGCTTCCAAGTAGAGGTTCAAGCGCAGTCAGTGTGCCCAAGTGAAGCCCATGCTCCTGACTGCCAGACTCCGACTCCCCCAAAGCAAATGCCAAGTCCCAGTAAGGAACCCGTGAGTATCTGTCAGATACTTCACAATCCCCAGGCAGCCACTGCTAAGACCTGCTTCCTCAACTGCTGCGGTCCTGACACACGTGTATAACTGCTCCTTATTTCCCCCAACACCCAGCTCCCAAGTCTCCTCATGGAGACCCCAGCCCACATTCCCCTGTCCCATCTCACCACAGAGAGCAGGGGCTTAGTGGGATTGAACTCCTTGGCATTGGGGTTCAACGTCGACTTCTTCACTTGTCTATGAGAGAAAAGTGGAGTCAATTCTCACGGCCTGCCTCTCGTCACCAGACACCTGCCCAGCTCCCCACCCCACTCACTCGGCAACTGGGCCCTCATCCTTGTCATCTCCCTTGATGAGGCCCGCTGGGGGGCTGCCAGTTTGGCTTGGGCAAGGTGGGGGAGGCTGCTCCGGCCCCTCGGCACCCCCTGCTGGTGGCAAGGGAGGTTTGTCCTCCTTGTCCGATACTGATTCGGCCTTCGAGGAAACAGGAGACCCCAGGGGCTCTGAAGCCAAAAGACCATCCACCTCCTTCTCCTTCCCTTTGGCCTCCTCTTTCAGGATCCGTGGAGGAAAAGGATCCAAGCTGGTCTCAGGGGAGCTACTGGGCTGAAGCTAGAAGGACAGAAACACACAACATAGAGACTACTCTCTTATCTCAACCCCAGACTCACCTTCCTTCATCTTTGCGTCCTCTAATCTCTCAATGCCACCCAGTGCCTATTCCATAAACCTCTCCCCCGACTCCCCAACCTTCATCGCTTTCCTACTAACATCCTAGTCACTCCCACACTTCGCTCACCTTAAACTGGGCCCCAAACTTTCTCAGTTCTTCCAGCTGAAAACGCTTCTGTTCGTTCTGAAGGCCAGGGACTATGAAAAAGAGCAAAAAACAAGAAAACACACGTTTCTTTTCTTGAAGGTGGCTACAAAGCAACCCAAAGAACAAAGAAACCGAGGGAAAAAAGCTGAGCTTAACAGAATCCTTTAAGTTAGGATCAATGGGCTGATCCACGTCATCTGTTTCTGAATTTCAACACCTGCCTAACTGAAATGCTCCTCTAATCAAAGGGGCACAAGACCCTGGCAGGAACAACAACAACCCTCACCTTTCCCTGCAATCCGGGACAACTCCTGGGACTCCAGCGTCCTTCCAGGTTCCTTGGCCGGAAGTTCTTTTACTGAGCAAGAAAGAAGAGGCACATGAAGACACTTCTGTCCGGAAGCTCACTGCCCACTGTCTGCAGTCCCCACCCGGTGGCTCTTACCATCTGTGGGGGCCAGTGAGATCTTTGGAGAAGCTGGGGAAACGGAGCCCACTCCAGGATCCCCAACTGCTGACGTCACTGGGATGGAAGCTGAAGAGGTCGGTACTGCTGAGCCAATGGGAGGCTCAGGACAGGAAGCTGAGATTGGGGCGGGGGCAGCTGATTTGGGAGAGCGTGGCGGGTACATCCGGCCCACTGGAAGAAAAAGGAGTGATTTGTGTTGGTCACTGCTGGTCACTGAGCAGGGATTCACTAGAAACACTAAGGAGAGTTCATCTACAAGATCACAAACCTAAATGTTTAGAAGGGCAAGGCAAGTAAGGTAAGCAGGTAAAATGGCCTCATGAGTACCATGAAAGACTGGAATGCTCCAGGAACAGTCAAGACTCAGTTCCAGTCAACCAGAGCTATACAGCAAGACAGGTTCTGTGTTAGCAGAACTTTCTGTATTTCAAAAGAAATTAGATACTTTCTATGATTTCTCCTCCCTTAAAATTAGTTGCCAACTAATTTATTTATTTATTTATTTTGTTGTTGTTGTTGTCGCCAACTAATTTAAACAAAAGGCACTGGCCAGCCAGACAGAACGTATGGATTGCCATGTTGGAATTTCTCCCTGAGGGAAACTGAAAAATTCTTTCCTGAAAAGCATAAATCCAAGCCTCCAAAACACCTTTATCTTGGAACTCTCCCAGTCCAGCATTCTAACTATTGACATATCTACACCCCTATCCATTTCTTCATGTAACACCGCTGGAATCTTACCTGCAGGAGGAGGTGGAACAGAAGCTTCTCCAGAAGGCCTGCTGCTGGGGGAAGACAGACTCTTGGCACCTCTCAGAGGTCGCTGGGCCTTAGGGGACATGCGGGAAGGGCCTATTTTTTTTTTTTTTTTAAAGATGGGAAGAAAGAGGCAGAGTTCCTGCTATTACATGACCATCAATGCACCTTCCATCCAACCCACCTAGATCCTTTTCCTTGCCACCTACCATCATCCCCTTCCCTGCCACCAACAAGTTGGCTTCCTAACTCACCTCCATTGATACCGCGTGCCTCAGAACCTGGGCCAGGGCTGCTATTGTCAAGATGGTGAGGGCCACGAGGCGGCAAAGAGCTAAGGCCAGGCCGGCCGCCCCGAGAACTACTGCAGCGAACGCCTCCCCGGGGACCTTCCCGAACTCGCTGGGGTAGAGGGATATACTTCCCCTCCCTGGGGGAGAGAGTTCAAATAACATCAAGCAGCCACAAAACACACGTTTTCCAAGGTGAAGCCCTCCTTATCAAAGTCCACCTCCTGCCTCAATGCACACATACACAGATACGCCTGACTTCAGCTTTCTGCACTATTTCTCTTGAGAAACTAACTGTCCTGTGGTTCCAGGATGATGACCCTACATTGCAGCTACCCCTGACCAGACCAAAGCAGCCAGTGCTCCATAATCCTACCCCACTCCTGACCTACAAGACAGGTAGTATCACATTGTGGTTTAAGGTACAATACACTTCAGTTTCATTTTCACAAGAGGAAAAGTTAAGACATACACAGGAATGAAAATGCAGGAAAAAAAAAAAAAAAAAGAATATGGGGAATTCCGGAATTCCCTAGGGGTAGGACCCTGAGCTTTCAATGCTGAGGGCCTAGGTTCCTGGTTGGGGAACTAAAATCCTACAAGTTGCAGAGTGCAGCAGAAAGCAAAAAAAGGAAAAGAAAAAAAAAAGTATCAAAAATCTGGGGGGGGGGAACCTGTCTTAATGCCTAATCTTTAGCCTTGTTACTTCAGACAAATTAATAGTTCTGGGCTTCAGCATCCTAAACCCCAAGATTTGGAATAACTGTATTAACCTATGATTGTGAGGCTTCAAAAAGCATATGTAACAAGCTCTCGGCCCTAACCTAAACCAAAAAATTGGGAATAACTACATGTTAACCTATGTGGCTGGGAGGCGTCACCAGAGGTAAACACCAAGCTTCCGGCCCAAACACTGACCCCCGCCCGCACCAGCCGCCCCCAGCAATCACCTGGCTGCCAAGCTGGGGCTCTCGCGCCCTGAGCCCTGTCGCTGAACCGCACTGTGCTTCTCCTCCTCTGTGCGCCCATCATCGTTCTCCATGGCGATCCGCAGGCGGTACTGGGGGCTCGATTCAATCTCTCGGGCCAACTGGGCAGCACGCAGCTCCCGCTGACGGAATTCTTCTGAGTTGTCCTTCTCTAAGGGCACCCTGTGAGGACCGCCGCCACCCCAGGGCCACGGGACAACAGGGAGGAAAAAGAAGACATTTCCATCAGTCCTATCACCAGCTCAGACATGTGGGTATTTAAACCCTCAACAAGTCAGCATTCACTGATCTGGCATGTAGCAGGGTCCTAGGCAGAGCAGCAAGGCATCTCTCTGAATCTGAGGGACACTGAGACACACATACAAATTTGTTAAGATTTTACAGAAAAAGTATGGACCAAAAAAGCAGTTAATTCCACCCATGGAATCAAGGTTATGAGAAAGAGAAAAACCTTTCAGAAGGAGTTCACAAGGCAGATGAGGAGCAGGGAGAGGGCAACCCAGATGCCCAGGAAAACGTGTACAAAAGCTATGCTCCACCTAAAGGCCTCCCTTCTGTTGATGACCCCATACCTCAAACTGCACCACCTGGGAAGTACCAAAAGACACTCACGTGTAAGAAGAGAGACTGCTGTCATAGGTGGTCTTTACACCATAGTTCTCCTCATTGAACTTGAACATTTCGTTGGGGTCCCATCCATTAGACTAGAGGGAGAGGGAGAATGTTTCAAAGCCCAGTAAGGAAAGCTATAACAACCAATCCTTCTCTTCCCTCAAGTTGAAAGATTAAAAATCTGACCAAACCAAGAGTGGGGTAAAAAGGAACAGGGCTCATGGGAAGGTCACCTAGTACTACTGACTGCAGCACAAACTGGTAGTTTCCGAGACAGAGACGTCTTTAGGACCTCCGAGACAGAGACGTCTTTAGGACCTAACACCCATTTCCAGATTTATATCCCAGGGAAATTCTGACCTAAGTGCATGAGGATACACATTCTAAAAATTCAGTAAGGCACTATTTTTAATATCAAAACAATGGCCCAGAAACACCAACAAGAAAAGGGATAAAGACAATTTATTGTGTATACACACAAGTATACACATACAAATAGCACAATACATTTAGTTAAAAGCAATGAGTAGGATCTATATACCAAAATGAAAAATCCAAAAATAGGTAGGAAAAGCAAATTAAAAAAAAAAAAATTAACACAGTGAAGTAACAATTCACTGATAAATTTTAAATCAATGTAGTTGTTTGGAGGAAGGGAAATGGGCCTATACAATACTCAATTTCATCTTTATCTTTTTCCCAAGGCTGGGAAAAAACTGATTTGAAGCAAATTTTAACAGTTATCAATTACTGATAGTAGAAAAACAGGTTATTTCTGTTTGAGTATGCTCTATACCTTTCCACTGGAATCTGACTGCCATCAGCAGGCAATAATAAAAGACTTCTTCCCTGCCCACCCCAGCAACTCTTGGCTCCAAGAATGATGTCACTGTCAACAACCCACACTTCGGCAGCAGAGCCCCCCAGCTCTAGGGTTCTCCAGAAGGGAGACTGTACCATGTCAGATTCCAGGTCGTAGTCATCACTGTTGCTGTCGCCCCCCTCCCAGCGCTGAAGCACCTTCTCCTTGTGCTCCCCATTCACCTTCGAGTTCATGGCAATGGCTGAGTCAGTGAACTTATCTGTGCGGGCAGATTGAAGATCAGGAGTCAGGCGGTATTGCATAGCCTTCTATCCAACACCCTTCGCACCACAGAAGCAAAGAAAAGCTTTTGTGTGTCAGAGTTTGAGGGTGCAGGGCAGCGTAAGACTTGTTCCAAGAGTTCAAAACAAGCAAGGAGTTGAAAACAAAGCAGGAAAAGTATGAAAAACAACACAGGCTGGAATTCACCCCACTACATCTTAGACATAAACACATGTTCTCAAGAAAAAAATTCCAGTCATCCTCCTCAGAAATATGGTGATAAAGAACAGGAAGGAGGAGAATCAGATCATCACATTCTCTGCCTTCTACTCAAGCACTGGGTCTGACACAACAGCCTGCACCAATAAATACCTTTAGTAGCATAATTGAAGTCGACATTTCGGAAGTGGACAAGCATGACATCACTTGGCTTAAACACCATGGTGTCCACTATGTCTTCCCGACGAGGGCCACCTGCTGGCTCCGATACCTTCCGGTGCACAGCGTCCACTGCCAGTTCAAACTATAGAAGTCCCATTTCCCAACAACCGAGGGTCAATATTAAGAAACGTGATGACAAAAATATGACTACTTTTAATTTTACCCTTCCTAAACTTTCCCCAACACCACATTCTCAAGTGCACTGTCTTGTCAACATCACCAACAGGATTTAGCCAAAGCCCCAAACTTAAAACTTCACATCAAAATTCCCAGCCCTCTCATTTCAAACCCCCATCTTTAGTTGCATGCAGCACTCTTCCAGCACAGGCCTACAAAAACAAGGCTAGCCACCATGTTGTCCAAAACCACTCAACTTTGTGTCTTAAATGAACCTATTTCACTCTCTTCTTTCTCCCATGAAACTCCAAAAAGCAAGGTAATTTGAGTACACTGACCTTTGAGCTCAGTGTCTTGAAGATACCTTCATAGGTGGTACCATTCTTCACCTTTACATCACAAGTGGAACCCTGAATGAGCAGAGAAAAACAGAAGAGTGCCTCCAGCAACCGATGCATTACATTCCTCAACCTAGCAGTAAGAGGCCCACTTACCACAACAGCGGTAAGGAAATGCAGCATTCTGGAATTGTTGTAGACACCCTCAAACACCTGTCAGTAACATAGGAGAGAGATAAAAATAAACAGCCAATCAGCATCTTACCATCCTTCATAATGTCCACACTCCACTCAAAACCACCTCCTATGTGTGGGATCCTTGCCCTTCGGAACACATCTATTTCTGCACCTAGTCTGCCCTCTATCCCCACATATGTATCTTTTAAGCATCTGTGCCTTAGACGGGGGAGAAAAGGCACTCACCGGTGACTGTGGAGGTCCCTTTCCTGTGCTTTGTCCCCTATAAGAGAAGGAAACAAGAAACTAGTTATTTAAGTACGGTCAAGCCCTCTTATTCAATGCTTTCAAAGGACTCTATGCTAGGACCACATACTATGCGAGGATAACGACTTAGGCTACAAATCATTAACCAACAACCGATTTTCAAATTCTCACTTCACAGAGGAAGAAAAGCACTAAAAGTCATTTCTTCCAAATACCAGTAAAAGAGGCTCAATCATCAACGTCTGTCAATTGCTTTAAAAGCCAATTCAACACAACGTTTCTCCAAGAGGGCCAGGGCTGCATGCTTCCAAACGACAAACTTTACGACATTCGACAATAACCCACGCCAGATGTAACAGTGGAAGCTCAGAGAGCGCAACTTTTGAACTACCTAGCTCAGGTAAATTACCTCCCAAACAGGAAAGACCATCATTTCCCACAGCCTTAGGCCCCAAATTAGGAGTGAAGGTGCTCCCTCCACAATCTACCCTTCTGGACCTCTTTACTCATTCAGCCTGTTACCCACTCTGGGAGGGGTCACCAATCACCCAGTAACCCTGCTTCAAGCTGGCTGATGTAACCGGCGGTTGAAGAGGGCGATCAGGGGGCCGTTGGCAGGGCTGGGGGACAGCGCAGCCGCAAAAGCTATCCACCCGGAGGCCTCGCCCGGTCTGCGCCTGCGCACTAAACCCCACGGGCCTCTTCAAAATCCCCCCTCCCGCGATCAGAACCCACTGCGCCTGCGTGTACCTCCACTCTCAATTCCATAAACCCACAAACAGAAGAAACCGAGTTGGGTGTCCACCACTCATCCAAGGCCACCACGCGAACCCGTCCACGAGCTCTCCCAGCCGCTGCCCTATGTGTTACCCGAGGCTGGAGAATGGCCGGGTCATAAGACACAGCATCCGCGCGCACGTACGGCAAGAGCGCGCGCGCGCTGGAGGTTCCCAGCCCGCAGTCCTCCCAGTCCCTCCTTCCGTCCCCCCGCCCACCCTGCTCCCCTCCTACTGGCCAGACTGGGACCAGGAGGTAGCAACTCGCTACCAAGTCCCTCCCTCCCCATTGGCCAAACTGTGGGCCGCGCGCCCCCCTCCATTGGCTACGGCCAGGGACCCCTTCCCGCAGCTGACTCCCCATTGGCTGAAGACGGGAACCGCGAGACCCTTCGTGGTAATGGAGCCGGGGACCCCGATCACCTCTTCACCCCCCCCAACTCCTCGTTCCGACGCCGCCGGCGGGATGCGCTCTGCCTGCCCTTAAGGCCCAGGTCCCGAGCCCTGACTACGCTCGCAGAACTGAGCACTGCCCCGGAATACCCCGGTGGCCACCAGGGACCCTCTGCCTCTAACCTGTTAGGACCTGAGGGCCCACCCCCAGCTTCACGGGGCTTTCCCACTCCCCCTGGTGCCCCTCAAAGGTGGCCAGGCTAGAAGTCCGCCTGGCGCGGTGTACAGCTCTCGGCCACCTCGGCTCTAGCGCCCGGAAACCCACCATCCTCACCTGGCGCTGCCGATGGCCGCTGCCCCTGGTCTCTCCTGATGTTGCTGCTGTGGTGGCGGCGGTTGAGGCGCCAAGATGCCCTCCGCTCCCCGACGGAGCCCGCTCCCGGCAGCGGCTGCAGGCCCTAGGCAGGGGGAGGCGGCCGCAGGAGGTCCTGGGGGAGCCGAGGTGGAGGCCAGGGGCCCCGGGAGACCGCCGTTGGGCGGGCTGGTGCCCCCGGGAGGCCGACGGGCCACGGCCTGTTGCGTGGGGGGCGGCTGCTGGGGCTGGGAGGTCTGTTGTGGCGGCTGAGGCTTCAACATGATGGCAGCGTCCGGAAGGGGAATTAGGGGGAAGGGAGGGAGAGAGGAGGCCGGGGCTGGGCCCCCTCCGGAGAGCGCGGGAAGCGAAGGGGACTGGGAAGCTGGGGACCCGCCGTTGGCGGGCGGGGGCAAGCCCCGCGGTGTCGGGGGTGGATAGAGAAGACCGCGGCGCGAGGAAGCACCGCGAGGCGGAAGGGGAGGGGGTCTCGCGGGCCGGAGGAAAGCGAGAGGGCGCGAGCCGGCTTGGCGCGCGTGCGCGTCGCCGGGGAAAGGGGAGGAGGAGGAGCGCGCGGGCGGGAGCTCCCGAAGGGGGAGGGGCGGGGAGGAGGGAGCGGCGGCCCGAGATGTCCGCGCGCACCGGGGCGGTTAGCTCCGGGCGGGAGAAGAAAGAATAAAGGTGAATCTCGCGCCCCTCGCCTTTGGAGTGGGGAAGGAGCAGCGCGGGGCGCTTGCGCGCGCCAAGGACTTAGAGTCTCTAGGTCTCAAGCAGCCTTGAAGACTGCCTGCCGCTGTCGCTTCACAATGAGCGTGTGAAGCGCTGGGGGTGGAGCCGAAGAAGCAGAGAGGAAGGAAGAGCCGGCCGCCCCGCCTACGCCGGCGGCGTAGCGTCGGAATACCTCCGCAGTAGTGTGAGAAGTCACCACGTAGCGTGCAGTTCTTCCGCCATTTGAGGGCCCATGGGCGGAGTCTTAAGTACAAAAAAAGTCCTGGCACGAGAACTGGTACTTATTTTAGGCTTGTGGTAGGTTTTGTGCGGCCTTTATCTGCCTTTCATAAAAGATTGATAGGCATTAATGTTATCAGTTTGAGCATGCTGATCTTTGGAGATAACTCTATACCTAATTCTAAATTATTTTAATGATTTTCAAACTAATGGTTTTTCTATGCCCTAGAATGAACCCTTAAAGTGGAAGTGGCAAGTGAAAGTGTAGTCGCTCAGTTGTGTCCGACTCTTTGCGACCCCATGGACTGACTGTAGCCCCCCAGGCTCCTCTGTCCATGGAATTCTCCCGGCAAGAATATTGAAGTGGGTAGCCCATCCCTTCTTCAGAGGGTCTCCCACATTGCAGGCAGACTCTACCATCTGAGCCACCAGAGAAGCCCAGAATGAACCTTAAACGGTAGTAACAAAGAGGCTGAAGACGCAAGTTCCTAGGGTCTAGTTCAAAATCCTCCACCCAAGGTTTCTTAAAAAGCTGGAAATAGAACTGCCATATGACCCAGCAATCCCACTTCTGGGCATACACACCGAGGAAACCAGATCTGAAAGAGACACGTGTACCCCAATGTTCATCGCAGCACTGTTTATAATAGCCAGGACATGGAAGCAACCTAGATGCCCATCAGCAGACGAATGGATGAGGAAGCTGTGGTACATATACACCATGGAATATTACTCAGCCATTAAAAAGAATTCATTTGAATCAGTTCTAATGAGATGGATGAAACTGGAGCCCATTATACAGAGCGAAGTAAGCCAGAAAGATAAAGACCATTACAGTATACTAACACATATATATGGAATTTAGAAAGATGGTAACGATAACCCTATGTGCAAAACAGAAAAAGAGACTCCTATGTATAGAACAGACTTGTGGACTCTGGGAGAAGGCGAGGGTGGGATGTTTCAAGAGAACAGCATTGAAACACGTATATTATCTAGGGTGAAACAGTTCACCAGCCCAGGTTGGGTGCATGAGACAAGTGCTCGGGCCTGGTGCACTGGGAAGACCCAGAGGGATTGGGTGGAGAGGGAGGTGGGAGGGGGGACCGGGATGGGGAATACATGTTAAAAAAAAAAAAAAAAAGATACACTATGGTTGTGATAAAATAAATAAATAAATAAATAAATAAATAAATTTATTTTAAAAAAGCAAAAAAAAAAAAACAAAAACAAAATCCTCCACCCAACTCCACAATGAAAACAGCTTTCAGTCATTCAAACTAGCTGGGCATTTAAGACAGGGGACTTCCCTGGTGGCTGAGACAATAAAGAATCTGTCAGCAATGCAGGAGACCCGGGTTTGATCCCTGGTCAGGAAGATCCGCTGGAGAAGGGAATGGCAACCCACTCCAGTGTTCTTGCCTGGAGAATTCCATGGACAGAGGAGCCTGGCAGGTTGCAGTCCATGGGGTCACAAAAAGTCAGACACATCTGAGCAACTACACTGTCTTTAGGACATTAGACTAGGTGCCTTGGATATGACTACTAATAATTAAACCACTTCCTACCCTCAAGGAGTTTAAACTAGTGGTGGATTCAGACAGATGCGATCTATTAGGTGAAGCACAGAGCCCTTAGAGTAGATAAGAGTGACACCTACTTCAGTGTTGGGTGATGGATTTCTAGGCACGGGGAATAGGACATGACAACGTAAAAAATCCTCAGCATGTCTGTAGTATAAAATAGGAGGAAGGAGGTTTTAAAAATAGAAACGGAAAAGATAGGTAACCTGGGACCAGTGGGGGAGCCTTTTTCAAAAAATGAAGAGGACAGATTTGCATTTTTAAAGGATTACTCTTTGCAAGGTGGAGAATGGAGTGCAGGAGTGATAGGTCTTAGTCCAGGTGAAACTTTCAATATCAGTCTCTTCCCTCCAGGTGTTAGCATTGGAACTCTTCCAGCTTTCAACTCTCCCCTGAACATGCACACACTTAGCTAAAAGTCTGCCTTACTCTTTGAGAAGTGTTCCTTCGTCCAGCCTCACTCCTAGTTTTGAGTTTTGGGTTCCCAAAACTGCTGTTTGGCCAGCAGTTTTCCGCCACTTTATTCTGTGAGCTCCTTTCATTATGTGTTACTGCTGGTGTGTGTGCTTAGTCGCTCAGTCACGTCCGACTCTTTACGACCCCATGGACTGTAGCCCGCCAGGGCCCTCTCCCCTGGGGATTCTTCAAGCAAGAATACTGGAGTGGGTTGCCATGCCCTCCTCCGGGGGACCATCCCAATCCAGGGATCAAACCCGGGTCTCCTGCATTGCAGGTGGATTCTTTACCTTCTGAGCCACCAGGGAAGCTGGTATCTGCTCCCTAATAGTTGGGATCTTACTCACTGCTCCTTCTGTGATACCTGGCATAATGCAGGCAGTCAGTTAAATACCTGAGAAGTGAATGGATTCAAGTGTTATTTTGAAGACCATGTCTCCTGGGTGTCTGAATAGTCCAGCTTTTTCCTGGCATTAACTGTACCACGTGCTGCCATGCCACCTCTTCAGCATCATTATGGGCACTCCCGTCTCCCCACTCACATACTGCTCCCACACTCTGTTATGTTTCAGCCTGTTAAACTCTAATTTCCGCAACCTGCCTTGCCCTTGTTCAACTCTTCCTTTGAAAATGCTGTTTATTCACCTAGTTCTCATTATTCAAGCTCAGGTGTTAGTCCTTTTGAACAACTTGTTATTGACGCCCTCCTCTCAGTTCCCAGAGCATTGTGATGATTGTTGCTGTTGTTGTTTGTTTGTATGTATGATTTCCCTTTCTATTGGAGCGTGAGGTCATTAAGGTCAGGGGCGGTATTTTACTCATTGCTCTCTCCTTCCTGTCTAGCTCAGTGGCTGGCACAGTCATTCAGTAAATTGATAAAGGAATGAAATATTGTCATCTTATATACAATTTAGAAATGATAGGGACTTATGTGGTGGTTCAGTGGCTAAGACTCTGGGCTCCCAATGCAGGGGGCTCAGGTTCGATCCTTGGTCGGGGAACTAGATCTCACATGCCACAACTAAATGTCACAAGTGCCTCAGCTAAGGGTATAGCCAAATGAATACGTATTTTTAAAGAGAAAAATGGTATCACTGTGATTTGCTCTAGAGTGATTTCCAGGATATATTTTAAGTGAAGAAAGTATAAAGAATACTTCCTTGTGTGCAAGGAAGAAAGGGAAATAAAACAGAAATGTATCCACAAATTCTTGCAAGGAAGAACAAGAAGGGTAAACCAAAAACTAATAAAATCAGGCACCCTTGAGGGGTAGGGGAAAATAAAGGTTCCTTGGTTGTTGGATTACGTCCCTTTTGATGAGGGAAACAACAGAGCCCTGAATGGGGAGAGGGAGACACATCTTTGAGCCTTTTCATATAGTTTTGGCTTTTCAAGTAATGTTAACGGTCAACATACTCAATTAAATCAACAAAAACAGAGTACCTAAAATCTGAATACAGATGTAAATAAATGAAGCCAACTCTATTGTATATGAGTAAAAAATAACACCCTGAAGGGCAAAACAGAAAAAAATGGAACTAATTCAAGTCACTTTCAAGCACCTGCTGAAGAAAAAAAAAATATCTCTACACCTTGAATTCTTAAGTCGGTTTGTTCTGGTAAGGGCATGGCAATTCCAAAGCTATATGGAGTGTATTGTAGGATTGAACACATGAGTAAATGTGCAGGCAGGTTGGGTCCTAGGGGTCTCGCTGAGGAAGTATGGAACAGCAAATGTGGGATAAGAGAAGTGAGCAAAAACGGGGGATTGGAATGGAAAGCAACAGTATAAAATTTATAGGAGGGATTTGTGGTCCAGGGGCTAAGACACCATGCTCCCCCAATGCAGGGGACCCAGGTTCGAACCCTGGTCAAGGAACTTGATTCCACATGCTTCAACTAGAGATCCCACATGCCACAACTAAGACCTGATGCAGCCAAATAATATATGAATAATTTTTAAGTAAAATAAAATTTATGGGAAAAAATTAGATAGATAGATACACTTATGTTTACAGAAGTTCCCCAGATCTTGTTTTCTAAATATCCCGCAGAAACAAACCAGGGCTCCTTGAAGAAAGTAAGTGTTAAACACATTTATTGGGACATCCCCGCTGGCTCAGTGGTAAAGAATCCTGCTGCCAATGCAGGAGAATAGTTCAGTCCCTGGAAGATCCCACACACTATTAAGCCTGTGTTCCACAACTACTGAGCCCACGTGCAGCAGCTAGTCAACTACTGAAGCCCGTGCGATTTAGAGCCCGTGCGATTTAGAGCCCGTGCGATTTAGAGCCCGT